GAGGAACAAGGCCGCACTTGAAGACTGATCATCTGAAGATTCTTACTGCAGTCTCTCTCTTCTCTATGGAGTAACTTCCCTTCACTTAGGTTTTGAGGAACCCTAGCTATGTTTGTTTGATTGGATGATTGTATGAGTACTCTGACTTGATAATCTTGAGTTCATATTCAATCTATGCATGTTTTCATGATTCAATTCTGCTTTAGTCGAGATTATTGATTCTGCTTTGATCCTATGAGAGCGAATACCTGATTAGGTCAATAGAGCACCATAGATTGATTGTATTTGATCGATTGCTTTAGTCGAGGGTTGATTCAATGCTTTATATCGATTGAGAACCTCATTCGATAGTGGGAATCTAGTTCAGAACGCATTGATCGATTGTTCTAGAGAAGGATACGTCCCTCTAGGCAATTGACTCAAGAGGGCCTTGTTCCTTTAGTCGAGACTCAAGGTCTAGTTAAGGATTCTCCGCATTGTGAATGAAAGTGAAACAGTTAAGAGATCATTAATCATTAATCTGGCTAGTGGCTAGGGGGAATCATACCTAAGTGAGTCCCCAACCTGTAATTAGATTAACTTTAACTGTAGTTTGCTAGAGTAGTTTTAGTTCTTTCATCTTAATCTGTTTTGCTAGATAATGAACTGAAGCTGAGTAGTAGTAACTCTAGAGACCCATGGATTCGATATTTATTACTTGAGCCACTATAATGCAGTCCCTTTCATTGGTTACACTTGGCCATTGTTAGGAGTTATGTCATAGCGAGTCAAGTTTTTGGCGCCGTTGCCGGGGACTTTCTAGAGTATTAGGAAAGGCAGAATGCCGCCAAAATGTTCTTTAGCTAGGTCATCTGATTATCGGGAGTTGGAGCTGCTGTTGGCTCGGCATACTGACGCTGGGGCTGCTGGAATGGCTGCCCCTACCTAGGCTGGTAGGGCTGCTGCTGTGGTGGTGGCCCCTGCCTAGCCTGGAAGGGCTGCCTCTGCTGAAAACCACCCGCTGGTGCTGGGAACCCAGGTGGTTTAGTGGTGTTGTTACCCCAAGCGAAGTTGGGATGCTGGCGCCACCCCTCGTTGTATGTGTTGCTGTATGGGTCAAGGCGTCGAGCATTGGCAATGAAGTCCACATATTTTTGGGGAGTAGAAGACTCCCGCATAGCCTGGCAGTCCTCTACCAAATGATTTGGGCTCTTACACCATTGGCATTGAGCTACGGGAGGCATAGCCAAGCCTCGGCCCGGAATAAGACTGTTGGGCTGCTTCAATGTCTGCACCAACTCGGCCACCTACTGCTCGAGCCCGGACCTGGCCTCCATGGTGTGCACACCACGGTCCCGGGGATTTCTGCCTCTGCCGCTCTGCCCCCTGGAGTGATCTCTGGCAGCCAAGGTACTGATCATCTGGTTCAGCTCGGGTGTAGTCTTAGTGAGAATATCCCCTCCTGGGCATAGAGACTCAATCACCCTCTGGCTGTCAGGGGAGAGAGCACTGTAGAAGTTCCCCACTGTGAATGCATCACTGAAGCCATGATGGGGACATTGCCATAAATATCCCATGTACCGCTCCCATGCATCACGAAGTGGCTTGTCTGGCTCTTGGCGGAAGTGAGTGATCTCCCGCTGAATCTCTGTGGTCTTCGATGCAGGATAGTACCTGTGCACGAACTTGTCTGCCAGATCGTCCCAAGAAGTGATGGACAATGGGGGCTGGGTCTCCAACCACCTCTTAGCGTTCCCCGCCACAGAATGGGGGAAGAGGTGAAAGCGGATTGCGTCATCAGGTACACCGTTTAGCTTGAACCCGTTCGTCAGCTGCAGAAAACGGGAAAGATGCACCGTTGCCTCCTCATCCTTCAAGCCATGGAACTGGATAGAGGATGTAATGAGTTGAATCCAGCATGGCTTGATCTCGAAGTTGTTCGCTGGGATGGGTGGATAGAGGATGACCGGGCGGATGTCAGCAATCCGTAAAGTGTAGTAGTACTCCAAGGTGGGACCCGACGGCGGTGGATGATGATGAACCCCATATGCCTGGGGTCTGGGGTTGTTCCCCAAGAGCTGATTCACCGGGGGAACCTGGAGAGGATTCCCCAGGGGTGGGTTGTGTTCGCCTTCCATCTCGTACTCGTCCTCGGACCCGCTGCTCAAATGGCCGTCTATGCGCTCTTCCGTAGCCAGTCTAGCTCGCTGTTGTCTCCTAAGTTGGCGGCAGGTACGTTCAAGCTCTGGATCCAACGGCAGTATACCTCCCGACTAGCTACGGGTCATGCACTATCTGCACACAATCAAGCAATGCAAACCCGTGAAGGCACAAGTGGGAAAGAACAAACAATCAATGCGAAAATGAAAATGCTAAAGTAACAGAAATCACTTTTCTTCAACAACATAGCCGTCCCCGGCAATGGCGCCAAAAACTTGACTCACTCCTACTGTCACTCTAGAAAATGGCCAAGTGTAACCACTTCCTAAAGCGTAGTATAGCGGGTTTGGGTTTTAATATTAAACCGGGTCCTAGATTTGATGACTACTCGGTGAATTCTTGTTATCTAGCAGTGAAACTTTAGTGCAAGTCCAAATTAACAAACAAACAAAGCAAGTTAAACGGTTGTTTTCAAGTCGAGAGAGGTCACCCGGATATGGTTCCCCCTAGACTGCAGTTAAGCCGGATTGCAATTTACCAAGTTCAGTTTTCATGAAAGTTATACTGCGGAAGGTTCTTAAACAGTCTGAAGTCTCGACTAAAGGTCTCCAGACCCTCTCAATCTGAGTCTCCAGCGGGCGACTAACCTCCACCGGAGTAAACACATTGAGGCCCTAACGAACTAAACCTCCACTACCGAATTGAATTCGGTACAGAATAGCGAATTGGCTTCTTGACTAAAGTCGCCAATTCACTACCTTCAATTAAGGATGCTCTATCAACCTAGGCAGATATTCTCATTCTAGGTTAAAGCAGAAACAACTAGAATTTGATCAGGATTCAAGTCATTCAATCATTCAAGCCTCAATCGAATATAATCAAATCATAAACTCTATACTTGGGTTCATACAACCAGACCTAACATACAAATCTAGGGTCCCCATACCCAGATGAATGGGGAAACTACTCCATGGAGAGAGAAGCAAAAGCAGATTCAGACGCGGAAATCATACTGTGAAGGATGAGTTTCTGCTCCTGGTTGTCAATCGGTACTTCTCCAAGCTCAAGCTGGGCTCCAATGGTGATGAAGATCAAGCTATAGCACTTGGGAACTCTGGTTCGTCGCTTTCTCTCTCTAGGAATCGCTCTGTCTCTCTAAAACTCGGAACCTCTTGATTTTTAGCCTTCTTTTCCTTTAAAACTGCTGCCTATCGCGATACCCGGTCGGGTATTTTGGGTCTCGACCAGGTATAATGGAAACGCGCCGTTTTGCCTCAGGGAAAATCCCCAGTCATGGCCAATAATCCCCCGACCGGGGATTTAAGCTTCACGACCGGGACCCCCTCAATTCCTTAGACGTCCAAAACGATAAATACCCGATCTCCTCAAAATAATACCCGGCCGGGTATTTCTGGTCATGGCCGGGTATTTTTGTTATCCAGCACACTTCGACCCAAACGAACTCCTTTCGACCCGAAACTCGTTCCTTCGCCTCGATACCAACGCTAAGCCCTGAAATGTGACATAAACTCACAACCTAGCGTGAAATCGACTTAAAACACGAGAATCAACATCTCAAACGGCTCAAGAATAGGGGTAAAAACATGTGTAATTATCGGTCTATCAGGCACAAAGTGGCGAATCTCAATGGCTATTGGCAATGAACACATGGATCATTGCAAGTAATACCGACATCCAACAAAAACAACATTCGAGGTCACCAAAAATGGGCAAACGAAAAGTTCTCACCTTGTTCATGAATCAAGATCATTTATCAACCACAACTAACCATGTATAACATTCAAGTCCAAGGAACAAACGAATGGGCAACAAAGGTCCTCACCGGGGTATGATATGACATGCAAAGCAAAGAATGAGCAAAATAATCAACACTCGGCCCTATCGTCTCTTCACCTCGGCAGAAACCTCTAAATGTTAGTGTCGCAACCGCCCCTCGAATCGGGGGGACCCGTCGCGTCATGCTCGGAGTCGCCATCGACCGCGCTTTCGGGTGGGTCGAACACCCATTTCCGGTTTGTTACTTAGGTTAAAACCAGAAATCTGGTATGCGAATTTTAGATTTTTCTAGGTTCGGGAGTACAGTTACGTGTGGGGAAGTGTATTCACACCCCACAACGCCCCAAATGGGTACTACTTAAATCGATAAGTTTTTTTAAGAATTGGGTGTATCATTGTTTGCGGCTTTCTTGATGTATTTAATTATATGAATTGATTAATTAAATAGATATTATTTAAAATTTGTTAATTACGTATTTGGTGTCCAATTGGACTAATGAGTTAAAATTGATATACAATTAGATTATCCGTCTATTGACGCAAAATCTAGAAAGTAACGAAAATATTTTTTATTAGTTGGACTCGAACCTATTGGTTGCCTACGTACCCGAGTTAATCGGGATCAAAGTCCACGTAGTTCGTTGTATTGAAAAGGTGACTTTAACATGTTCTATTGATATGTGATTAAGATTTGATGTTGGATAATTTAGAAAAATGAAGCAAAGTTTAATTCTTTGTAATTCTAATTTGAAAGTTCGATGACTTTCGAATAAACTTAATACGAGAATGCTATAATGATCTATCGACCGTTGATATTTCGTATTAAGAAAATTTGGTGAACATCACCTACGTAGAATATTATTTAAACAAATGAAGTTAATAACCCTTAGGAGGTAAGAAATTAATGATTTTATTGAGGTTAAAATGGAATTCCACGAGATAAACGGAGTAATTTGACTCATTTGAGTATGAATTACGTATTAAGCTGATCGAAGTTATAGTGGATTTTAGTATTGTTTCCGGGTCTTCTTAAAAACGGCGTCGTTTGGGCCGCGTCTCTAAAGCTGAACCAAAAACCCTAAACACGACCCTTCTTCTCTCTCACTCTCTCGTCTCTTCTCTCATCCCTCTGAAATCAAAATCAAACGCGAACAGAAAAAGAACAAAACCCAAAACCTCCCATTCGTTTGAAAATCGATCTGCCTCTTTCCTCTCTTTTCCTCGTGTTGGTGACAAGGAGAGAAGAACGATGACAACGGCGGCGAAATCGAGGGCCTTCGACGTCGACGATGGTGTTGACTGCGCCGATGAAGGTAAGACCTCGGTTAATTTGGGTTTGCATGTCGGTTCTTGGTTTGATTGTGAGTTGGGGGACTTTTAGGGTTCTAATCGGTTCTGTTTTTCTAGATTATCGGCTTCAGGGAAAATAGGGAAAACGAATGGCGACGGCTCTGGGTATTACCGGCGGCGAGGGTAAGAGGTTTTTTTGCTTGCATGTCGTATTTTTCATTCGATTTCGACTTGGGGTAAGTTTCTTATACATGTTTTTTTTGGCTCACCTCTGGGTTTTTTTTTTTTGGCGGAGGTTGACGAGGGAAGGAATGGCTAGCGAGAAGAAGAGTCACCGCCGGCAAGCTCTGGTGACAGTGCCGCCCGTTGACTCGTCAGAGGTGAGAATCAAATTTTATTCTTGGTTTGACTTGAGGGGTTTTAGTAGATTCGGACCTGTTTTGTTTTTGTTGTTGTGGGTTTCAGTAATGAAATTGGTGGTTATCTTAGGCGTATTTGGGATTTTTTTGGGTTTGATTGAGTGATGGTTTTGAAACTGAATTGTGGGTGTTTGTGGTGGGTTTAAATCTGGAAACTGGCCGGTGTACACGGTGGGCTTGAATATGGAATTTTCTTGTACATGGTAGATTCGGTTTGGGAAGTTTATGGGTTTATGGTACCGGTTTATGAATCTTTGTTTTTGAAATCAAGGATAGTTTTTGCTAATGTGGTTTTGTGATTGATTTTGGCATTATTTTGGGATTTTGGGGTTTTTGAAATATGAAATTCGGTGATGATTTTGATTTTGTGTTTGGTTATTAATCGAATGAGTATGAGATCGTTTGGGTGTGATGGACTTGTAATTACCAAAACTGCGAGGGTTTAGAGCTGAATTACTGCAGAAATGGTTTAAACTGCAAAACATTGATTATTTATTGAATGACTTATAAACACTGCTATTGCTTGTGATTATGAAGTCTTAGCTATTCTAATACCTTCCTTTGGTTAAGTCTAGTGAGTCTACTTAGGTTTTTGCATATGATTCTTGGTTTGTAGTGCTTGCCAAATTGTGGTTTGGAAAATTAGGGGGTTTGGGATGTTAGTTTAATGCAATATAAGATGGAACAACCTAAAACTAACTTGAGCAATAAGCAAAGAAAGAAACCAAAACTGTTTTTTGTTATAATATACTTCCGCATGGTAAAACATAAATGGAGGTCACAAAAGAATCACAGATCTGATTTTGGTTGGTTAAAGTCGTTAATACTGGGTAGATTGAGATTAGTTCCTCTCTTGAACTACTTTGTGAAAGAAAGCTTGAAGTGGAGACAATAAAATGATGATGAACGATAATAAGTGGGTTTGCATGTTACCAACCATTGATTATTTGATGGTTGGTGATGGTTTTGACCTTTGTAGAAGATCTTTTCCCCTTTTTGATGCTGCCTTTGCTTCCTCTTAGTTCTCCTTGTCTTTGTTGTTGTTGTTAGAGCAAGAAGAAGGAAGGAAGAGAGGTGGAGAATTCACATGATTTGGCTCTCTGTGTTTGTATGGGTGAAGAAGTCTGAATGGTGTCGTTTTGTTTTTTTATCTATTGAAAGATAGGAAGCATGGAAGATTTTCTTTCCACTGCCTGTTCTCTTTTTGCCCTCTGTTTGTATGTGTTTTAGTGGCCGAGAATTTTTGCAGGGTTTTTGTTCTTCGCTCTCTGTTTGTTCAGAAAAGGAAAGCGGGGAAGAAGAAAGAAGAAGAGAAGTCCTCTCCCGTCCGAGGGGGAAAGGAAGTCTATGGTTTTTGCAGAGTTCTTTTTCTCTGTGTCTGGACAAGAAAAGAGGAGGAAGAAGTGGAGAGGGCAAGGCCCTCTGTTCTTCATTTATGGTCGTGTGTTTTGTGGAGGAAGGGAGTTTCCAGGAAGAAGAGGTGGAAGAAGAAGGAGAAGAGAAGATGATACTCTGTTTTTTTTTTCTTTTTTGATGGGCGATACTCTGTTTTTTAGCAGGGAGGGGTAGAAGAAGAAGAAGAAGAAGAAGAAGAACTGCCTGTGGGAGCGATGAGAAGGAGAAGAAGCCCTCCAAAACCTCCCCTCATGTAAGAGCAAAGGAGCTCTTTTTATAGCAAATTGCTGCTTGGGGTGCAAGAAGGCTACAGTACCAGTTGTGGTTTTGGGTTCAACCAGTCTGTTGGGTCAGAGCTTACTAGGTTGACTTTGGTTGACCGATTTTGACTCATGTTGACTGACTTAACCAATTTGACTTATTTATTTCTAAATTTTGTTGTGTAATAGTTATTCAGATTATTATGTCATTTATAGTTCTAATTAAATTCAATTGTAGTTCTAATATAGTTGTTTATTTTTTTAATTCATTTTTTTTTCTCTTATTGTCTTGAAATCAAAGCTCAATCTAATCAAAAGCCTAACCGTCTATGTATATAATTTAATCGTCAACCTAAAGGTAACCAAACCAAGCAAACTGCTTAAAATTAGGTTGTCTCAATCGACTTGATTCATCCCAAACATTACAAATACGCTTTTAACATTACAAATATGCTTTTAGTTAGAAGATTTTATTTAGAAGATTGTTTAAGAGTTGCTATTGCCAACTTTACGCAATCAAGTTTATTTAATTAAATTGTATTTTAACCCGGACGAAAAGTGGTGTCTACAGTTGCCCCCCTTTGTATATCTCTTGGTATTTTGAGAGGTATACAAAGTTATTATAGCACACCATTTTTTGCCGGTTAATTATTGCTATAAATTGCAAGGTTGGGGCGCTAGCCCACTCCCTTTTGGTAAATTAAGGTGAGGTAAGGTAAATTTGTGCGGTAGTATAATTTGTTCATTTGTTTTTTTTTATATAACCTGCGATTTTGTTTTTCGTATCATGGCGGTAGGGCCAGTGTTAGTGATTTTTGGATTTCTTGGCGGTAACGCCTGCGTTAGTGCTTTTGGGTTTCTTGGCGGTACCGCCTACGTTAGCGTTTTTAGGTGTCTTGGCGATAGCCTCTGCATTAGTGTATTTAGGTTATTTGGACGTAGGGTCTGAGTTGGTAATTAAGAATTTTGGCGGTAAGACCTGAGTTGGTATTTAGGTATCTTGGTGGTAGGGCCTGAGTTGGTATTTGGAATTTTGGCGGTAGGGCCTGAGTTGGTATTTAGGTATTGTGGCGGTATAGCCTGACTAGAGTTTTCTGGTTTCATGTCGGTATAGCCCGTTTTAGGAGTGTTTTCCATGGCAGTATAACCTGATTTGGGTTTTTGGTCCAATGGCGGTATAGCTTGACTTGTTTTTAGTCTTGTGGCGATATAGCCTGGTTTTGGATTTTTATTCGTGGCGGTATAGCCTGTTTGATCACGTGTATCATGGCGGTAAAATTCACGAGGATATGTGAAAGTTTAACTTGATCACGAGTGGTATAGATTTTTTGTGATTGACATGAGTGGTTGAAACAAGCAATTGGTGGTCTTAGGTAGATCTAAGGTATGTGACAAACTTGATATTGGTAAAGATTTGAATTTTGACTTCCCCATATGTGCAAATGCAAGGTATTTTGTGATATGATATGATGCAATATTGTGATGAGATATGTTGGAAGGGTACATCTACTTTAAATGAATTTTGAGAATGAATGATATTTAATTTGGCTATGAATTTTTTATAGATGATGCCATATGATTAGTTTGAAGTGCATCGAGAATGATGCCATTCGATGCGTGTGAAGTGCTTTCGAAAAAGGTTGTATGATGGGTTATAGGATGATGTCTCGATGGTATGCAAAAGAAAGAGTATAATCCCTCATCATGGTCTTGGTGTTTTTTTTCATGGATTCTCTAAAATCGAACATCCACAAGGAAAATATGCCATTCCCTTTTAGTAAAATTGATCCTTGGTTGTGCTCGCGATGGGGTAGCATACTGCCGGCATGGGTACTTTATTTCGTTGGTGTGTGTCAGTATCTCGAGGTACTGGGCTTGCCATCTAGTTTATCCTCTTTTATATACTCAGTGAGCACAAGGTATGTCGCTTATGGGGATTGATGGAAGGTTGGTCTTCTGTTTTCTCCACCTTGGACATTGATTCTTGGGTGGTTGATGTATTAGCCATATGATCTTTTCATGGGATGTGCTTGGTAGGTTGTTTCTGTAAGAGGATTTTGTAACACCTTGGACATTGATTCTTGGGTGGCTGATGTATTAGCCATATGATCTTTTCATGGGATGTGCCTGGTAGGTTGTTTCTATGGGAGGATTTTGTAGCATGATGGTCACAGGATAATGTGCTCATTTAGTTTGCTTGATCTTCTTGCTATGTGAGCATGTCGTGCTTGGATAAGAGAAATTTGTTATCTCTGGGTATTGTCTTGTTGATGTCGGTTTTCTAGACATGCTTCATTGACCTCATCGAGAGGTATGAGGTACAAAAATACTTGGTTGACGGATAGTTTGATTGATTGGTAGGGTATCTTGAACAAAAATGATTCAAGATCTATGAGATTTCCCATTTACTCATGATTTGGTGGGTTTGGAGAACCACTTTCTTCTTTCTTTCCGAGTGGCACTATCTTGCCCCCGAGAATGTGTTATTCGCCTCCCATTCTTCGGAACAAAGTGTGACTTTTACCAATCTTGACTTAAGATGAATGCAAACAATGTTTGAAAAAAAAAATCATTTAAGAGGATATAATGGGAACTTGACTTTTGAAATCAAAGCCTTGCTGGGGGAATTGTGTGCAATATGAGAAAAAATGATTTCTTGTGTGGTTATTGTCACCTTGTTTAAAAATTCGTTCTTTTCGGAGGTCAAGCCATGAGAATATTCACAAGCCCTCACTTTCATTCTCATGCTCAATTTCGCTCACACTCATTCCTATGGGTGCTTCGAGTATACGACACTTTGGCTACTATCAAGATTCTTGTCGCCAAGTTGATGGAAAAATCTGTCGGAGGTACAAGTTGACGATCATGGAGATTCTATGTAATCTCTGTATGGTCTTGTTGTGGGATTTCTTGAATTTTCTAGAAACGAGGCTCTTTTTCTATATGGGTTCCAATCGTAAGAGTTCTCGTGTTTTGAGAAGTTTACTTTCCCCAAATGAGAGGCAGGTAAAGGAAATGTATACGGAATTTGACTTTAGTCATGTGAAACTTCGTGTTGAGGGATATTTGGCTTATCCCCAAGGTATGAGACGGGTTGATGGAAATATGAGATAATCCCTTCTTGTCGTAAAAAGTTTCTTGTGGAGGGATATTTGGCTTGCCCCCAAAGTATGAGATCGACTGATGGATTGAGGAGATCTTTGTCGAGGAAGTTTCATTTTCATTGAGAATGGTGGCTCATCTCGGGCATCTTTGTGGATATATATTTGGCTCAAGTTGCCCCCTTGTCTTGAAACTTGGTTCGGAGAGGTGGGGTTGAGTAATCAGTATCCAAGATCATTTGAGTAGAAAATTCGATTATGGAAATATTCTCATTTGTTGAGATCAATGTTTGACCTCAAAAGGATGGGTAAGGAGATATGGGTATGACACAAACTTTGACTTCTCATCGGATCTCGAAATGATGAATGCTGAAAACCCTTGTACGGTGTAGTGATGGTCGTCAAAGTCTTATATCATGGGGGTTCTTGTTTGACTTGAATGCGAGACTTCAAGTGATTGATAATGAGGATGATCATGGGGCTGGATTTTAGATCAAGCAAACATTCTTGTCTTGGGATCCCCATCTTATTCAAGGTTTTCTTGCGTTATTTCTTCAGACTTGGAGGGTGAATGCCATTTGATTTGGAAAGTTGATTGATTTGGTCATAGCTCGCTTTGGAGTATTAATCATGTTGGTTGGAGGATGGTCATACATTGCGCTCTTGACCATGTTGAAGGTGAACTCGAAATCATTCTTTTGTCCTTTTAGAGAAGATAGCATGTGACGAGTTTGAGTGGTTCTGACTCCAAGTGCTCATGTAGGGGCATTCTAATGTGTAAGTACCACAATATCTTTTTTTTGTGTTTTTTCATGCCTTTTTGGCTTCTTCTTTTTTTGCTCTTTTTCTTTTTTGTGGACTTACTTGGCTTTGCTATGCCCCCCATACATATTGCTATTTTGACGCTTTTGATTTTTGTATACGAGCATGAAGTTGTTAGGAGATTTGTCAATATATCAATCTTTGTGAGTGGTCCTCCTTGTTGGCTAAGCCACTTGGTCATTCCTTTCTCGAAGAAGCGAGATATCTGGTGCTAGCACGTATTGTTCGAATGCTTTTTCTGCTTGAATAGCCCACGATTCGGACTTAGGCATGTAGGCGTTTGGACAATGGGGCTTTTTGTCACATTAAAACCTCAACTGGTGATGTGAGTTTGTCAAATTGGATCATTCAACCTCCTCAATCTTCTGGATGTTAGGGCTTTGTGGGAATTTGGCTATTATGATGTCGGCATATCGGTGCTCATGGAATATGATTTGGCTACTCAACCTCCTTTCTAGCCGAGCCTTAATTTGATAGAGGACATTGGTTAGGGTAGTGACAAGCTTCTATAAGCAACCTAGTGTCGTATCCCCGTTGCACCCTTTGACTATTATCTAGCATATATTTGTAGACACCAGTGGGGTGTTTATACTCTCGACTCTAGTAATATGTGCACACTCTCAACATACGTGCGTTTCTCAAATTTTGGGCACCAGTAGGGTGTTTATAAACACTCAACACCAGTGGGGTGCTTATATTTGCTTAATGTGAAAATCTCATGGCTCAAGTTGAATACATGAAATGCGTTTTTAGGTTCCCATTTTTGGAGAAGAAAAGTTGACCATAATGTTGTGATAGATATATTGTTCATTTCGGAGAAGAAGAAAAAAATCATTGTTGCAAAGTTACAATTCAAGTTTGGTAATAGTCACGCAATATTCCAAATATGTGGAAATGCATATAATCCATTATCCTTCATGATGATAGCAAATGCCGGTACATTTCTTCAATATGGTAAAGCATATTGCATTTATTTGATTATGTGGGTCTCCATCACCATCGAATCACGCTCTGTCTCATAGAATGCCTACTAATCTCCGTGATTGGGCAGTGGGTTGTCGTTGAAGTTTGAAAGATTCGCTTCTTTTTTTGAAATTTCCGACAAACTCCTCGTGAATATGCCAACTTATCATTTCATTTCTCCAGATATGGTTGACCTTCTTTTGATGTCATCAAATTGCTTCTGGTATGACTCCGTAACGAGCACAACCTTGGAACTTAGTATTTAAGGGTTGACTTTATCTTTGTGGATGGACAACTTTAGAAAATCCTTGATTATGATTTATTAATGTTAAATTGTGTCGTGCGACTAAATGAGATGTATGTGCGAGATTGATGATTATGCTAATGATGTAAATGTGAGATGATTTTCGGTGGATGCATGTCTATTTTATAAAAATAAATTTAGAATGATTAATGTGAATGAATGAGGAAATGATGGTGTAATGAGTTTAAAATTCCTTCACACATATAATCAAACTATATCATTCACGAATAATAAAAAGCACATATTACCCGACATACGTAAGTTATGAACTGATCATAATATAAATTCTTTCACAAACTTTTGAATTATTGAGGTAAACCTAGGGTTTTTCGGCAGCATAACGTCGTGTTTTTGGGTAGGCTATGGGATAAGTTGCGGTTTAGGTAGTTTCTAGGTAAACTATATGCTGGATTGGGATCTTAAGGAATCAGGCTCCCAAGTTGTACCACACTATAACCCTTTCGAGTTTAGCGTGATACCTCAAATCATCCTCGGATTTGAGTTCAACCTGGTTGGGAAGTTTCGTATTTCCCCTACTATTGTAGGAGTCACACTACTTTCTTCCTTTTTTTCTACAAGGATAGCTCGGGAATAGAGCTTTATGCATGGATACAGAAAAAAGTACATAACAAATTTTTAAAACGCAAATTGATATAATAAACACGTAGCACCCATTATAAGAAGTAAGGAAAACTTATCGACGATTAATGTAGTTTGACTCTAGTTTCCCCAGCGGAGTCGCCACTGTCGCAACCGCCCCTCGAATCGGGGGGACCCGTCGCGTCATGCTCGGAGTCGCCATCGACCGCGCTTTCGGGTGGGTCGAACACCCATTTCCGGTTTGTTACTTAGGTTAAAACCAGAAATCTGGTATGCGAATTTTAGATTTTTCTAGGTTCGGGAGTACAGTTACGTGTGGGGAAGTGTATTCACACCCCACAACGCCCCAAATGGGTACTACTTAAATCGATAAGTTTTTTTAAGAATTGGGTGTATCATTGTTTGCGGCTTTCTTGATGTATTTAATTATATGAATTGATTAATTAAATAGATATTATTTAAAATTTGTTAATTACGTATTTGGTGTCCAATTGGACTAATGAGTTAAAATTGATATACAATTAGATTATCCGTCTATTGACGCAAAATCTAGAAAGTAACGAAAATATTTTTTATTAGTTGGACTCGAACCTATTGGTTGCCTACGTACCCGAGTTAATCGGGATCAAAGTCCACGTAGTTCGTTGTATTGAAAAGGTGACTTTAACATGTTCTATTGATATGTGATTAAGATTTGATGTTGGATAATTTAGAAAAATGAAGCAAAGTTTAATTCTTTGTAATTCTAATTTGAAAGTTCGATGACTTTCGAATAAACTTAATACGAGAATGCTATAATGATCTATCGACCGTTGATATTTCGTATTAAGAAAATTTGGTGAACATCACCTACGTAGAATATTATTTAAACAAATGAAGTTAATAACCCTTAGGAGGTAAGAAATTAATGATTTTATTGAGGTTAAAATGGAATTCCACGAGATAAACGGAGTAATTTGACTCATTTGAGTATGAATTACGTATTAAGCTGATCGAAGTTATAGTGGATTTTAGTATTGTTTCCGGGTCTTCTTAAAAACGGCGTCGTTTGGGCCGCGTCTCTAAAGCTGAACCAAAAACCCTAAACACGACCCTTCTTCTCTCTCACTCTCTCGTCTCTTCTCTCATCCCTCTGAAATCAAAATCAAACGCGAACAGAAAAAGAACAAAACCCAAAACCTCCCATTCGTTTGAAAATCGATCTGCCTCTTTCCTCTCTTTTCCTCGTGTTGGTGACAAGGAGAGAAGAACGATGACAACGGCGGCGAAATCGAGGGCCTTCGACGTCGACGATGGTGTTGACTGCGCCGATGAAGGTAAGACCTCGGTTAATTTGGGTTTGCATGTCGGTTCTTGGTTTGATTGTGAGTTGGGGGACTTTTAGGGTTCTAATCGGTTCTGTTTTTCTAGATTATCGGCTTCAGGGAAAATAGGGAAAACGAATGGCGACGGCTCTGGGTATTACCGGCGGCGAGGGTAAGAGGTTTTTTTGCTTGCATGTCGTATTTTTCATTCGATTTCGACTTGGGGTAAGTTTCTTATACATGTTTTTTTTGGCTCACCTCTGGGTTTTTTTTTTTGGCGGAGGTTGACGAGGGAAGGAATGGCTAGCGAGAAGAAGAGTCACCGCCGGCAAGCTCTGGTGACAGTGCCGCCCGTTGACTCGTCAGAGGTGAGAATCAAATTTTATTCTTGGTTTGACTTGAGGGGTTTTAGTAGATTCGGACCTGTTTTGTTTTTGTTGTTGTGGGTTTCAGTAATGAAATTGGTGGTTATCTTAGGCGTATTTGGGATTTTTTTGGGTTTGATTGAGTGATGGTTTTGAAACTGAATTGTGGGTGTTTGTGGTGGGTTTAAATCTGGAAACTGGCCGGTGTACACGGTGGGCTTGAATATGGAATTTTCTTGTACATGGTAGATTCGGTTTGGGAAGTTTATGGGTTTATGGTACCGGTTTATGAATCTTTGTTTTTGAAATCAAGGATAGTTTTTGCTAATGTGGTTTTGTGATTGATTTTGGCATTATTTTGGGATTTTGGGGTTTTTGAAATATGAAATTCGGTGATGATTTTGATTTTGTGTTTGGTTATTAATCGAATGAGTATGAGATCGTTTGGGTGTGATGGACTTGTAATTACCAAAACTGCGAGGGTTTAGAGCTGAATTACTGCAGAAATGGTTTAAACTGCAAAACATTGATTATTTATTGAATGACTTATAAACACTGCTATTGCTTGTGATTATGAAGTCTTAGCTATTCTAATACCTTCCTTTGGTTAAGTCTAGTGAGTCTACTTAGGTTTTTGCATATGATTCTTGGTTTGTAGTGCTTGCCAAATTGTGGTTTGGAAAATTAGGGGGTTTGGGATGTTAGTTTAATGCAATATAAGATGGAACAACCTAAAACTAACTTGAGCAATAAGCAAAGAAAGAAACCAAAACTGTTTTTTGTTATAATATACTTCCGCATGGTAAAACATAAATGGAGGTCACAAAAGAATCACAGATCTGATTTTGGTTGGTTAAAGTCGTTAATACTGGGTAGATTGAGATTAGTTCCTCTCTTGAACTACTTTGTGAAAGAAAGCTTGAAGTGGAGACAATAAAATGATGATGAACGATAATAAGTGGGTTTGCATGTTACCAACCATTGATTATTTGATGGTTGGTGATGGTTTTGACCTTTGTAGAAGATCTTTTCCCCTTTTTGATGCTGCCTTTGCTTCCTCTTAGTTCTCCTTGTCTTTGTTGTTGTTGTTAGAGCAAGAAGAAGGAAGGAAGAGAGGTGGAGAATTCACATGATTTGGCTCTCTGTGTTTGTATGGGTGAAGAAGTCTGAATGGTGTCGTTTTGTTTTTTTATCTATTGAAAGATAGGAAGCATGGAAGATTTTCTTTCCACTGCCTGTTCTCTTTTTGCCCTCTGTTTGTATGTGTTTTAGTGGCCGAGAATTTTTGCAGGGTTTTTGTTCTTCGCTCTCTGTTTGTTCAGAAAAGGAAAGCGGGGAAGAAGAAAGAAGAAGAGAAGTCCTCTCCCGTCCGAGGGGGAAAGGAAGTCTATGGTTTTTGCAGAGTTCTTTTTCTCTGTGTCTGGACAAGAAAAGAGGAGGAAGAAGTGGAGAGGGCAAGGCCCTCTGTTCTTCATTTATGGTCGTGTGTTTTGTGGAGGAAGGGAGTTTCCAGGAAGAAGAGGTGGAAGAAGAAGGAGAAGAGAAGATGATACTCTGTTTTTTTTTTCTTTTTTGATGGGCGATACTCTGTTTTTTAGCAGGGAGGGATAGAAGAAGAAGAAGAAGAAGAAGAAGAACTGCCTGTGGGAGCGATGAGAAGGAGAAGAAGCCCTCCAAAACCTCCCCTCATGTAAGAGCAAAGGAGCTCTTTTTATAGCAAATTGCTGCTTGGGGTGCAAGAAGGCTACAGTACCAGTTGTGGTTTTGGGTTCAACCAGTCTGTTGGGTCAGAGCTTACTAGGTTGAATTTGGTTGACCGATTTTGACTCATGTTGACTGACTTAACCAACTTGACTTATTTATTTCTAAATTTTGTTGTGTAATAGTTATTCAGATTATTATGTCATTTATAGTTCTAATTAAATTCAATTGTAGTTCTAATATAGTTGTTTATTTTTTTAATTCATTTTTTTTTCTCTTATTGTCTTGAAATCAAAGCTCAATCTAATCAAAAGCCTAACCGTCTATGTATATAATTTAATCGTCAACCTAAAGGAAACCAAACCAAGCAAACTGCTTAAAATTAGGTTGTCTCAATCGACTTGATTCATCCCAAACATTACAAATACGCTTTTAACATTACAAATATGCTTTTAGTTAGAAGATTTTATTTAGAAGATTGTTTAAGAGTTGCTATTGCCAACTTTACGCAATCAAGTTTATTTAATTAAATTGTATTTTAACCCGGACGAAAAGTGGTGTCTACAGTTAGAGTTCACGGGACGATTGTCATCACTAGCTTGTCCGGAGGTCTTAGAAATGACTAGCAATTGTCTTGGACATGGGGAAAGGCTTTTTGGGTGGTGGCAATCACAACATGAGGTCGTACATCTTCACCCTAAACCTGAAGGTTCTATGGTTTCGACTAAGAACCTTCCCACAAAGAATGGCCACTAGCGTCGGCCGAAAACCTTGCTTCTCCCTTCCAAACTATCACCCATCATGAACTACCTTTAAGCGCTTTTCCTCGGTCTACTCTTGCTATCACATTTCGACTTGGTAGGGAAGGAGCTTAACAAAATTGGTGTGATTTCAATGGCTTGAGTGCCAAGAAACCCCTCTTAGAGCATATTCTTTAATTTTTGTGGCACTCTCTACGTTATTTACCCCGTTTTATTACCTCGTTTTCTATTCTTTTTCTTTTTTCTTTCTAATTTCCTTTTCTTTCTTTTTCTCTTTTCTTTTCTTTTTTTTTCTTTTCTTTTCGAGGGGGGTGCTAGAGAGTAAAAGACTTGCCACATTACCTTTAACAACCAAAGCTCTCTTTTAAGAACTCACTCCAACACTACTCTTTTCTCTTTCATTCCTAGCAAGAGCTGCACACAATCCTCCTATGTAGAACCTCAATGGAACTCAAAAGCGAGAGCTCCGGGTCACAAGGATGACTCACGTATAGACACAAAGAAAGGATGGGGGGGGGGGGGTCGTTCTATCAAACAGCATTAACCTCACAAGCAAAAAGCTCATACAAGAGAACGACCCCCAAAGTCACAAGGCTCAAAGGGGTTGACTAGGGTATAAAACATTTTGGGACAATCAAAATTTGGGCATGGACTAATCCTATGCCTCCATCATACTCACTAGTGACAACTGTGATGTTACTCGCCATGGTAAGAGGGATCTAAGTACACAAGAAGAAAACGATCAGCTCAAAACTCACATGGGTACCTAGTCAACCAATCATCCATTCCAATGTCAGAAAACACAATGCATGGCAATTGTAATCAACAAGTAATCGAGTCAAGACATCCATTCAATTTTTCACACATGAGAACTAAACCTTTGCACTATCCTAATGCACCTCTCACTCATCATCATAGGAAACACTCGATCACATGCAACAATTCAAGGTCAATGCCAATAAACACGAGATTCTCCTAGAACTGGCCACTTTGATCATGCAAACATTGCTAGGAGACCTTAAATTTTCAAATTTGGGCATACATCAAGGCTCCAAGCATCAATAACACTCACACAAGCATAATCATAAACTACCCTCTACACTTACCGCTTGGTTTGGTGAGTAAAAGTTGGAATTTTTCTGGGGTAGGAGAGTTTAGCTCGAAGGAGAAGACAAAAACACACACACAAACACAACTCATACTCGCTCGAGGCGAGGTTATTACATAAAAAATACGATAGTAGAACAAGAAAACTTGCTAACCTCCGTTGGGCTGCCTCCCAACAAGCGCTAATTTAACGTCATAAGCTAGACAGAGACTTTGGACTAGGCATCTTGCAGGAACGCCACCTCCTTTTGGGGCATTACCTCTCCTCCATGGTAACGTTTGAGGCGGTGTCCATTCACTTTGAAATTTCCTTGCGCTGGATGGGTGATCTCTATCACCCTGTATGGGAACACTTGCGTTACCGCATACGGGCCTGACCATTTTGACCTTAACTTTCAGCGGAATAATCGTAACCGGGAGTTGTACAAAAGTACCTGCTCTCCCGATTGAAAATCCTTCCCTCCTTTCAATCGAGCATCATGCAAGCGCTTCGTCCTTTCCTTGTAAATCTTGGTATACTGGTAGGCCTGGAGGCGCCACTCCTCGAGTTCAAGCACCTGCAACTTGATTTCATTTCCACACAAAGTAGGGTCCATATTCAATAGCTTGGTTGCCCAGAAAGCCCTATGCTCTAGCTCTATGGGCAGAAGAAACACTTTTCTGTACACCAATTGGTAAGGCGTCCGCCTATTGGGGTTTTATAGGCCGTGCGGTACGCCCATAGAACATCATCGAGTTCCCCATCAATAGCGCCAAAAACTTGACACACTCTGACTATCACAATAAAATCCCTCCTAAGGCCCAAGTATAAACCTTAGATGGGTGCAATATAGGGAAAGTATGTTTAAATATCAACCCGGCCCGGCCCAGCCCATGTACTACTACTTCGATTGTTTGAAACATTATTTAGAGAAGGCTTCCCCCGAGTGTTGCTCCCCCTAGCTAGAAATTACGACTTGATGGATCGAATGGCCGTGTGTGGTGAGGGGGGTTGTAAATCGCAGAGAAGTCTAACAAGTAGCTAAAGCTACCCTCTTAGTCTCTAGGTTGAGGAAATGGGATACGATCTAAGTCACTAATGCGACTCTCTCAACCTATTGACTAAGGATTGGTTAGACTTCACCCTCGAATTGGAGTTTGGACGGCCACCCACAACCAAACCCTAGGTGCTAATACGAAATAGGAGGTTTTCCTTGCATTAACCTAACTAGGAGACAATGAGTTGCCCAAGAAAACCCAGCATTCAAGCCTCTTTCAAAGAAAGGAAGGGGGTTTTCTCTCTACCTAGGTTAGAATGACAATTAGATTGATAGGTGATAACTTTGTATTTTCACATGTTTGCACCCTCTTTTCTTATCCGTTTGGGCTCGTAGTCGCGTGTTTTGACCTATTTTACGCTGGGTTGCATTCTTTTGTCACATTTCAGGTCTCGGACGTCAAAGGAAGGTCTAGGCGCGCGTTTTGGGTCATTTGGAGGTCATTCGGTACTACTTGAAAAAAACACGGGCAACCTCACTAAGGAAAACGGCTGTGGTCACTTAGGAGCACACCAGTGCTTTTTAGTGCGCGAGCTAAAATGATGCAAGGGGCAAAACACGGGCGTCATGGCCTAGAAGCACGGCCTTGTTCCGCTCCAGTGCTTTTACCGCCGAGAGCTATGTGGACTGCTGCTGGAGAATTCAAAACACGAGCGAGATAGGGTGGACACGGCCGTGCCCACGACCGTGTTTTGGCCGGTCTCGGGTTAAACTAGCAGTTTCGACCTAAAAGAAGGGGAATCAAGAGTTAATCAATTCAATGCTTTGTACTGGAAACTGTTTCCAGTAGTGGAGTTCTGTGTTAATTGCCTTAGCATTCTATCCCGATGAAGACTAGTCGCTTTCCGGTTAGTCTGTCTAAGAGGGCTTGGTCAGCTTAAGAGATTCCAAGCTACTGTCGGATTTTCTGCAGTTTAATCAACAGTGACTTAGCCTAAGGAAATTACAACTTGAACCTAACTAAGGAGCTAAAGGGACTCAATCCCGAGTGCATTTTCCCTTGTTTAAGAACTCCAAACAACTTACTGCTTTCTTTTTGTTTACTTTGAATTCACCTTCAATAACTTAGTCCCACTAGATAATTGAAGTTCACGGAGTAGGCATTAGATCTAGACCCCGGGTTGATAATTAAACTTACCACTATTCTGCATTTTCATTATGCGATTTCACTTTGTCGTAGTTTGGTGTTGTGTCGTAGCGTGTCAAGTTTTTGGCGCCGTTGCCGGAGACTCTAGGTTATTGTAGAAACGTGAAAGTTTGTTGCTTTTGCATTTTCTTTATTTGCATTCTCTCTCTTCCACACGTGTGCCTTCATGGGTTTGGTTTGCCATCTGTGCAGGTATTGCATGACTCGTAGCCAGTCGGGAGACCTACTGCTGTTGGACCAGGAGCTTGAACGAACTTGTCGCAACTTCAAGAGATCTTTGAAAGCACGACTGGCAGGGGAGGAGGCTATAGCACAGGTAAACATCAACCAGGAGGAAGAAATGGGTGATCCAAATGATGGCGGGGATGTTGTCCCTGATGAGCAAACCATGGGATACTACTGGACCGCAGGGCTGTAGACATGAGGTCGCCCATCCAACATTCTCAAGTTGCAGGCAAAAACTTTGAGGTGAGCACCTCAGTTATCACCATGCTGAAAGGCTCGGTGGTATTCCATGGGAAGACAGGCGAGTGCCCGCACTCGCAGTTTAGGAGATTCCACGAGCTGTTCGATGGAATCAAGATTAATGGGGTCCATGCAGATGCCATTCAGCTGAGGTACTTCCCATTTACTCTAGACGGCCAAGCAAAGGAGTGGCTAGACACCCGGCCTCTGGGATCGATCACTACATTCGCTGGACTGGCCGAAACGTTCCTCACCCGCTATCATCCGCCATCAAAGACAGCGGACCTGAAGAAGGAGATCACTCATTTTGCATAGGAGGAAGATGAGACCATCCGGGATACGTGGGAGAGATACACCAGTCTCTTCCTAAAGTGTCCCAATCATGGTTTCAACGACGCCTTCAGGGTTGGCATCTTCTACCGGGCTCTCTTCCCCGAAGATAAGAAGCTCATTAATTTGGTATTTGGCGGGAACATGCTGACTAAGACGCCACCATAGTTGAACCAGCTCTTTGAGGAGATGGCAGAGCAACGATATGACTCTGGTATTGCGAGGAGGTCGAGGCGAGCACCAGGCCGAGGTGTGCATCCTATGGACACTCAGTCCACTGATTTGGTGCAGGTTATGTCTAAGATGGTCTCTGCCATTGATCGTACTGGAATGGTTCCTGGGACAGGACAATAGAAGGCAATGCGTTGCAGTGGTGCGAGAGCTCCCACAATACTGTAGAAGACTGTTAGGCGATGAGGGAGTCGACTACACCTCAGGACCAGTTGGACTTCATCGACAATGCTAGGCGTTTCGACCCATACGGTAACACCAATAATGAGGGGTGGCGCCAGCATCCCAACTTCTCCTGGAGGGGAAATAATCCTAAGCCACCAGTCTCACAGGGACCTCCTGCCTTCCAGAGACCGCCATACCATCCCATACAGGGGCAATTCAACATCAATAGTTTCTCTACCCGCCCAGACCGGGACAGACTTTGCAGCCGCAGCCAAGACCTTTTCAGCAGCCAGGTCTAACTCCTGCAACCCCAGTGAAGAATGATCCGATGGTAGAGCTGCGAGATCTGGTGGGTTCTCTAGCCAGCTTGAGTGTTACTTCATTCAACAACATGAGCAGTTCATGGATAAAGCTTCCACTAAGTTCATGGAGCTTGAAGCTGGCCAGAGGAACACTTAGGTTGTTCTGAGGGATATCCAGACCCAACTTGAAGGCGTGGCTCAAGCTATTGCGCAAAGGGAGCCAGGTACTTTACCGGGTCATACCATTCTCAATCCGAAGGACCCGAATGCCCACTGCAATGCTGTCACTACACGGAACGAAAAAGTGACTGCAGACCCACATGTCCAGGCCAGACATGAGAGAGAGAAACCTCCGTCAGCACTTCCAGCTGATGAAGAAGGAATGGAGAAGGAGGTTGAGGTGCCTGCTCCTAAGCCGCAACCAGTGGTGAAGGAGTATGTCCCCCCAACTTCCCTTTCCCACTCGATTTCACAAAGACCGACTGGAGACTGAGTTTGCCAAGTTTATGGCAATGCTGAAGTAGGTAACATCAGTATGCCTTTCGTGGATGCATTGTCGAAGAGGAAGCTTGGGGAGCTATCGACGGTGATGCTCAACGAGGACTGTTATGCCATCCTGCAGAACAAGCTACCTGAGAAGCGAAAAACCCTAGTGAGTTTAACTATCCCTTGCATGATTGATAGTTTTCATATAGGGAAGTCCATGGCGGATTTAGGTGCTAGCATAAACGCAATGCCATATAAACTGTTTAAAAAGCTAGGCCTGAGGTGAACCCAGTAACACTAGGATGAGCATCCAATTAGATGATAAGTCCATTGTGAATCTTAGGGGTATTGCAAAGGACTTGATAGTCGCAATAGGGACATTCTCATTTCCTATTGATTTTGTTATTCTTGATATAAATGAGGATGTGGATGTGCCTTTAATTCTGGTGTCGCAACCGTCCCTCCGGGGTCGTCGGCGTCGCGTTCGCTTTTTGGGAGTCGCCATCGATCTTACTTGGAGTGGATCGAACAATCTTCGGTAGGCTCTAACCTTAGGGTCAGAATCTAGGCTTGGTCTGCGGTTAAAAGATTTGGGTTCCGTAGTACGGTTACGTGTGGGGAAGTGAAATCACACCCCACAACGCCCAAAATGGTACTACTTAAGTCGATAAGTTTTTATACGAGTTGGGTGTATTTTTAGTAATAATTTTGTAATTTTATGGCCCACCAGACCATTAAATAATTTTATCGTATTAGTTTAAGATTTAATTATACGCCTAGTGACGTAAAATATAAAGATAAAGTTAGTTGATTAGTTGCACTCGAACCTTATCGGTTGCCTACGTACCCTTTAGACGGGATCAAAGTCCATGTAGTTCGTTAGAACTTTGATAATTTAGTTGTAACCACGTTCCACTGATCGTGATTCCCGCATTAAGAATTTTGTTAATAAAATTTGAATAGGTTATTACGAGGTTGTTAAGAGAAACATAATGATTTTAGTTATTAGGAAGATACTTGGTGTATTAGAAAAGAAACAAGATAACTTAATCCGCATTTTAAATTTCGTATTAAGGATATTAAATAAGAAAAAGACATTGAATGATTAAATTTACAGACGATGTTTCATCAGCCCATTGGTTCGACCGCTGAAAGCACTATGCATGAATTCCAGCCCACCCGAGTTTGAAGCTTGGCAACACCTAATTTTGGTGTTTTTCATCCGTTTTAAGACAGAGGCGAAATGGGGTTATTTTTGAACTTTCACCAAAACAGGTGGCAGGGGGTCGTAATTTTAAGGAAACCCTAAGGGCAAAATCATCGTTTTAACGAAAAGGGTATATAATCATCTTTTAAAAGAAACCCTAATCCATTTGCGCCAAACGACCGCCGCTTAGCCTCGCCTCTCGCTCGTCTCTCTTTTGCCTCTCTTCTTCTCTTCCAGAGAAACAAAACCCTATTCGAACCAAAACCGCGCCGCCCTCTCCTTCTTCCTTCTCTTCCAGAATGAAACCAAAAACCTAGCTACCCAAACAACACCACCCTCTCCTTCTTCCTTCTCTTCTTTCACGTTTTCTTTCTCGGTCCACTCTTCCTCTTTGAGACGCGAATAAAGAAGAGAACTTTTGCTTTAAAAAGCAAGCAAAAGCCACAAAATGAAACCCAACTTCCTCTCCTAGATTTTGGAAACAACGGGAATATAATCGAAGCAGCGGTGGCAGTGACGATAGCGACTAGGAGAGAATTTAAAGGTTCATTTTCTTGCTTTGCATGCTCGATTTCTACTATTTTTAGATTTGATTTTAGGGGTTTTAGAGTTATGATTCCTATTTTCTTGTTTCTTTCCACAAAAACCGACTTAAACCGAAGAGGGCTTCTCGATCTGTTTCTCCACTCTCGTCGCCGGCCACAAAGCATAAGCCAACATCCTCAAATCGACTAGAAAGGCTTTGATATAGCTAGAAATTGGCTTGCATGTGGATTTTTGGACGAGTTTTTGTTTGAATTTGTTTGCGACCTTTCGTTATCTAATGTTTTCTATGGGTTTTGGTTTCGGGCGAGGGGAAAACGGGGAAGGCAAGCCTTGCCACCGGCGGGTATGGGGTAAGCTCGGATCTATATTTTTTTTGGTTTGTTGGTTGTATTTTGTTGGGATCTGATTTATATTGTTTGGTGTTTTAGTGGAGGTGGGAAGAGAACACAAAGATCAAGAAGGAAGACGTCGTCACCGGCTACTAGGTGTGGTTACTATTCGTTTTGTTTATTTATTTTTTTGAATATTTTTATAATAGAACGGTTCTGACTGTTGAGCTTTTTATGATGCAGGTTTTATGAGCAGACAGATCTATGTGAGGTCTCTCATAACTCGATTAATGTGGGACTGAGAGAGATGAAATTTTAAAAATTTCGGATTATATGGTTGTAGGTTAAATGTTTGTGAATCTGAATACTAAAAAAAAAAGGTTATGTGTGTGTTCTGGTAATTTTTTATGTTGTTGGATTTGATCTGCGGTCTTGGATCTAACTCTACATACTCTCGAAGTTAGAAAATAAAGGATTTCTGAACTAGAAATTTAATTAACATACTCCAAATTGTTAGTTTTGGCGATTGTAAATCACTGCTTCTGCTCGTGATTTGCTAGACTGGGTACTATAAATCATTGCTACTGCTTATGATTTTGGGTAAACTATGAGCTTTGCTGTTGGTTTTTGAAAATCCGAAAATTATTGTGTTTATGGTGGTTGTTATGAACTGTACTATAACTCTTGTAAATCTCCGCCACTGCTTGCGACTTTTATTAGACTATGGTTGATTTGTGGGTTTTGAAATCTGAAATTTATTGTGATTGGGCGATTTTGGTTGGACCTGGATCTATAGAGATCACGAACTAAGCACAATATTATATACTTCTATCTTTTGTCTATGCCCTCTACCGGGTTCGGCCCAATTCCTGGTATGCCGATCCGGGCCCAGCTCCTCTTCATCGTCCAGGCTCAGCTACCCCAGCCCATTGGGTTCCATGCCTTGGCCCATGGATTCGTGCGAGTTGAAATTCAACTAGGGGCTCACATCGTCGTACCCTGGCATCTTCGCCTTGCCTTTCATGGCCGCGATTTCTTGGGCCGACGGGGTCGGTACAGTCCCGACCCACGACCACGTCACGTGCGACCGCAGCCCCGTGATCAGCACGAGACGGCTCTGCGTCCGCCACCCTTCCTCCCTCAGCCTCCGCGCCTGCCCGCTCCGTCGTCGCCTTTGCTGAGGACGAACCACCGCCCGGCGCCCCACCGACCACGATCGCCGCCGCCTCAGCACCGCTCGGGAATGGTCTCGCGGTGGTGGTCCCTACGTAAGTCGCGCCCGGCGCGCCACCCCCGTTGACCGCCAGCTTGGTCGGGTTCGACGTACTTCCTGCTCCATCCCCTTTTGCCTGCAGCAAGGCAACCGCTCGCATCAGGTCCTCCAGCCTCTAGCGAAGGTCTTTTACATCCGCCTTCGCGTCAGCCTGCACTCTTGCCAGGCTTTCTTCGAGCCAGCGCTCATGAGTCCTCGTGCACTACCACCTTCACCACCTCGAGCTCAGTTTCGTCATCCACCACCCCGTCGAGCCCTCTGTCGCCCGCCTTGGTGGTTTTCTCGGCTGCCTGAGCCGCCTTCTTCGCGTTTTCTGCCGCTGTCATTGACTTTGTCGACACCATCATTGCTCACCCTGGTTCAAGAGTTCAAAATAACTCACTCTCGAGCCAGGCTCTGATACCAGATGTTAGAAACAAGGTTTCTAACATGGTCGGGATTGGGGAAATTAACTAGATCAACTAGGGATTGATCTAGCTAGGGATTGGGATTTGGAATCTTTAGAACCAAGGAAAGGGGAAGAGAAGGTTGCTGATGCCGCAACTTTTGGGAAGAGCGAAGGGAGAAGGGAAGACGCAGGGAAGAGAGAGAGAGAGAGATTGTGTTTTAGGGTTTTTGTTATGTAATTGCTTAATGAAAATAATACCACTACTATAGATTATATAATCCGCATAATCTCTATCTCCTACCCAACTAATAAAACATAACAATCGACTCCCTGTTTATTTCCCGAATACCCCAAATAATCCCCCAATTATAAAAAACTGATAATAATACGAAATACCAAAAACTGTAAATAATGTGTTTCTAACAAGGGCAGGAAGGCCTCATGGCCATATGTTAGAGAGAAAGGGGTCACCTTTGTACTACTACATGGTGACATCCGATAAGCCCATAAGGCTTCCGAAAAGAATTCATGCCATTTCCTCGGGCTATCCTCAATCATCTAAGACAATATACCCTTCACCACCTTGTTGGATGCTTTAGCTTGACTGTTGGCTTGAGCATATTAAGGAATGGAGTGTATGATCTGATATAATCCCAATTGGATCAATCTTGAAGATAAAATTGCTTGAGGAAGAAGGAAGTGAAGCTTAGAGGAAGAAGGAAAAAAAATGGCTATAGTGTTGGGTAGAGTCCAAGGTGCCTACTTTGGGAGCTCATATCTCTCAAACCAATCGATGAAAATGTGTATTCTAGGTCTCAATTCGAAGTTCAAAACTTTATCTTTCGATTGGTATGTCTTGGAACTCGAGGAGATGCCAGGAAGAGTGTTTTTGAAGTCAAACAAGAGGTTATGAAGAATCTTGAAAACTGCCTAAATTTGGCTAATGCAGGAAACTGTTTTAGGATGCTAACTTTGAAGAGCCATAACGGGAGCTTTGGAGACGATCTCGAGCTGATTCAAGTTGGAAGAGAAAGAGGGAGTTTCCTTCTACAACGAAAAGGTATTGGATGAGATCGAATTAACAAGGAAGATCATTTTCGAGGGCTTCAAAGAAGCTACCTTGCACTGCTAGTAATCCGAGTCCAACTAGGATTCCTAATTCCATTTGGATTGTATTTGTAATTCAATTTTCTTGCTTAGTTAGGTTAATTTCAGTCCTTATTCTAGTTTGTTTGTAGTTGATTAAGCCTATAAAAGGCCCCATTCTCGTATTGTAACATTCAGAGTTGATTTATGAAGGAAACCCCAAAATTTGACAACTTGTGAGTTGATTGTTGGTCTTAGGTTTTAGTTGCGATCAAACCTAGTTCAGTTAAGTCTATTAGTTGAGTCTTCCACCCTCTCGAAGGCAACCTTATCATATTCACTCGAATTGGAGTCTAAGCTGCGTTGATTCTGATCAATCACCTCCCTAGGGTGATATCATGATCTTGATGTCGTGTTCTTCGAAAATAGCCATCACTTCCCCTCCCATGAACACGGGACCCTGGTCAGGTGTTATGGTGGCTGGCAAGCCGAACCTATGTATTATATTCTCTATGATGAACTTGATGATATCTCCTTGATTGACCACTGTCATTGGCTTGGCCTCCACCCACTTGGTGACGTAATCAGTTGTCAAGATGACAAATGTATGTCTATCAGAAGATGGTGGATAAATCTTCCCAATCAAGTCCATGGCCCATTCAATGAAAGGTCGAGGCTTGATGATAGACTTCAAGTCGATGGCCGGAGCTCTTTGCACCGGGCCATGTTGTTGACAAGCCTCACACCCCTTAGTAAAAGTGACACAATCTTCCCCGATGGATGGCCAGTAGTACCCATACCGGTGGAGTACCCATCTCAATAGTAAACCGTTTGGTCTCCTTTTGAACAAGACCTCATCCAACAAGACATAGTTCCTTTCCTTGAATTTGACGGCCCGATCCACATCCCGTGTTGGATTCTTCAAGTATGCTACCAAGGGGGTACGCCAGTCACTGGCATCCTCTTCAATTGTAAACACATCTACCCTTTTCTTCAATCTCTCATGCAATGGGTTAAGCCTTCGCACAAAAATTTGCTCTCCCCCTTCATGAGCAAACTCTTTGAACCCCGAGGCTAGTTGTGCTAAGTAGTTAGCCTTGCCATTGTCCTGGCGAGGAACACACTTGGTGGAGACATTATCAAAGTGGGTAATTAATATTTGGACATAATCAAGATATGTCTCTAGTATGCAATTGATGCATCGAAATTCACCAAGTACTTGGTAGACTACTAGTTGAGAGTCCCCTTGGATGTTAATACTTTTGACTTTCAAGTCAACAAGCATCTCCAGCCCCACCACTAAAGCCTCGTACTCGGCTTGATTGTTAGTGAATGGGAGATCAAGTGTAAAGGTAAAGTGTATGACATGCCCTGACGGGGAAGTGAGGACCACGCCAGCACCCACTCCAGACCGTGTCTTCGATCCGTCAAAGTATAAGGTCCAAGAAGCTTCTTCCACCATGTCTATTTCTACCAACTTAGCTAGCACATCCACACATGGGTGGTCAGCTAAGAAGTCTGCCAATGCTTGGCCCTTTGTGGCCTTTTGAGACACATATTGCAAGTTGAACTCAGATAGTGCAAGTGTCCACTTACCAATCTTCCCATGGATCATTGGCCAGGACAACATGTACTTTATTATATCAGTCTTACATATGAGTTGCACTTGAACATGCATCAAGTAGTACCTTAGCTTCATACAAGAAAACTATAAGGCTAAACATAACTTCTCTACAAGGGAGTAATTTTGTTCTGCCTCATTTAACAGTCTTCTTAAGTAGTACACGGCCTGTTCATGGCCAGAGTCACTATCTTGAGCCAACTGACACGCTACAGAGGTGTTTGTGGCTGAAAGTTACAACTTCAATAGCCGATGTGGGATTGGAGAGTTGATTACTGGCGAGGTTGCCAACTACGCCTCAAGTAGCCCAGTGTCAGTGGTGTGAGAGCCCGAATGATCTGGTGGAGGACTGTCAGGCTATGCGGGATTCCTCTACTCCCCAAGAACAGTTGGCCTTCATCGCCAATGCTCGGCGCCTCGATCCATACAGTAACACATACAATGAGGGGTAGCGCCAGCATCCCAACTTCGCTTGGAGTAGCAACACCGCTAAACCACCTGGTTTCCCGGCACCAGCAGGTGGTTTTCAGCAGAGGCAGCCTTTCCAGGCTAGACAGAGGCCAGTTCCTCAGCAGCAGCCTCAGCGTCAGTATGCCGAGCCAGCAGGAGTTCCAGTTCCCGATAATCAGATGACCGAGCTGAAGAACATTTTGGCGGCATTCATGACCACCAGCCAGTCGAATTTCACGAGGGTGGACCAGAGCATAGCCTCATTGGAGGTAGGACAGAGGAACCAGGGTGCCATTTTGCAAGATTTACAAAACCATGTGGGTGTCATAGCTCGCCAAATTACTACCCGGGCCCCGGGGACTCTACCTGCCACCACCATCCCCAATCCACGGGAGCCGCACCAGCAGTTGGACGCCATTTTTACCAGGAGCAGCAAGATCATCCCAGCTGATCCTGCCCCGGCCAGGCAGGAGGAACCACTACCTGCTTCAGCACTTCCAGCCGATGATGCAGAAGTGCGGGTGGAGAAGGAAGCCCCTGCTCCCAATCCACAACCAGTGGTTAAGGAGCATGTGCCCCAACTTCCCTTCCCCACTCGCCTACACAAAGACAAGCTGGAGACTGAGTTTGCCAAGTTTATGGCAATGTTGAAGCAGCTCAACATCAGCGTACCATTTGTGGAGGCACTGTCGAAGATGCCCAAGACGCAAAGTTCATGAAAGATCTCCTCACCAACAAGAAGAAACTTGGGGATCTCTCGACAGTGCTGCTGAGCGAGGAGT